CAATAGAGGATGCCTCGGATCTTATCAATGATCTAACTCAATCGACACAACAATTGTTCTTTTGGGCCACCCGCTGGCCATTGATCGGAGATGTGGCTAGTATTTTAAAGAGCTGGTGGGTATTTACCAAACTGCTGAGCATAATACAGTAAACGTATCTGTGGTTTTATTGGACAGGATTTGTTTGTATTGCTATCGTTTATTTTATTTACTTAACCAATCTTTCTCATGTATATTCTATTTATCTAAAATATATTAATATTTAGGTTGGAGCTGCTATTCGAAACCTAGAAATTCGGTGAGATGACGAAGACCATCTTTACTGTAGCATTTCGAGGATTCATTGGTGTAATTAAGTGAATAAAAAATTTTGCTAATGAAATTTTACAAATTACAAAGTTCTGGAAATATCTTCAGATATGAATTAACGATTGAATTTGATGGATTATATGAGGACGTTAAGCTTTTCAATTATTATTTAAAATGATAAACAAGCTTTAAGTGAAGATTTTGGAGCTTTGAAACAGGTCAATTAATTAATATATTATAGTCTAGAAATGATTGAAATTATCAGTTATCGCAAATTAATAAAATCGATGGCGGTATTACGGATATGGATCACAAGAAGATTAATATAGTAATAAAAGAAATTTACGCGTTAAAAAACTGAAATATTCGCTGACGAACTTCTAAATACTGTAAGTAATAAACCGGATTTGAAGAGTTGATATGGTTGAATTAACCTTCAAAGAAGTTTCTGTTCAATGACTTCCCCATGACACGCGTGACAATATATACGCACAAGTAACTATTCTTAATATTAAGCGAATAGGAGACTCCCAAGAAATTATTAGGTTCTTGGCTTTGCCAAAGAAAATGACATGTTATATTTAATAACTGAATGGGCAGAATTTGGAAATTTAAAAGAATATATACAATATGTCAGGTTGATCTAGATTATTTAGATTTGAAATTGAATTTTGCTCTTGAAGTGGCTCGTGGCTTAAATTTTTTAGTATCAGTACAGATATTGCATCATGATATAAGATGCAAAGGTTGCGAATCTTGGTTTACTGATGCTACTAGAAATATTAGAGCTGTTTTCAGAATGGCTCCAGAAAAATTACTCAATATGATATTAAATATTAGGTATACGGGTAATATTAATATAGGGAAAACTATATTTCGGGCCTTAAATTTATAATTTACCGATAGCAATATTGTCGATTCATTTGGCTTTATTAATTAATCAGTTTTTATAATAGTCAATATACAAGACGGTCAGTTGATAACATCCTTTTTCACCGGACTCAATTTCTATCAGAGTCTACTTAGATTGGAACACAAATTCTATTTCAACTTACAACAGCAGCACCCATGTAATCCATTAAACTGGTTGCCTAAAATATTAGGCCTATTCTAAATGTTTGAATATTTAACGTTAACATTAGATAGTTTTAGAATGCTTTTTTTGGAGATTGCTGAACTAAAAATTCCGCCTAATAATGAAATAATGGCGTGATTTAGTTGCCAAAAATCACCATCGTGTGAGTTTTTCTCACGGTGGAATACCCAAAGAAAGAACAGATCTTGTAAAAGTTTGTGATTTCCAGCGTTGGTTTTGATTACCTTTGATTTTTACTATACTGAGCTATTTTGTGACTTATAAAATAGCCGCGCGGAACCAGCTTTATTGGAATATTTTTAATTCTTAAAATTGCTTGAAAAATAAAATAATAAATAAAAATAAAAATAAAATTATCCACCAATACGCACTCCTCGTCTAGACCCGTGTAATCCAATCGATGATGAGTTCGACGACCAAGCAATTCCTATCAGTTTTGCCGAATTCAATGATATACTTGTCGAAAAAGCAATAAAGGAATACCGTAGTAAAGATGGTAACAATCAAAATACTTGGAAGTGTTTTGAAGCACATGCGAATGCTGGTGACATCACAGCTAAATATTGGAGGAGATACTTTCCTTCTTAAGCGGCCGGATTTCACACGTGAAAAAAAAGATTTGAAGAAACTGCTAGTTATTTAAAGAAGCGGCTGATGGGGACATAAAAAGAGAAAGCACACAAAATGATATGGTTAAGGCAGTAGAATATTTTAAGAAAGCGGTCAATAATGGAAATTAACCGCTTTGTACAATATTGGAATATTTATTGCCATGGATATGGAGTAAAGAGAGATTTTGTAGAGGAAAGATTTTTAAAGTTAGCTACTTATCGTCAACACTCTGGCTATGAAAATGTGTAAACAAAAGAATATTATATTTTAGCCTGAGTATTTATTTAGTAGTTAATGTAGAAGTTTTCTTTTGTGCGAGATTTCTGTCTTTACCAATAACTTGCGAGAATATTGAAATTTAAATGATCTTTTTTGTTGAAAATATAAATAACAGTATATAATCAAATTTAAGAATAAGATCTATTTTAAGCTTATTTATTTTAAAAAAAATCTTTAATAGTACTTTATAAAAACTAGCAACAATTTTTTTTTTGATGCTAAGGTGATCTCTGTAGATATCTTTTTATTAAGGGTTTATTTTTAGAGTTACAATAAGGGTACAACTAGTTACACGTGTAACTTTGGTTGCCTATTTAAGTAGTCTGCTTTAGGGTTTTATACTAAAAACTATACCTAGAGGGTTATCTATTTAAATTTTCTGATTTTAATCTTTTTACTTCTATATGTTAGATGGAACTTACTAATCTTTTGCTATTTGATTTTTTTAAAGATGGGTTTATTAGATTTTGATTATGCTTTAGAATTATTTTATCTTCAAGATAAACCTGCTAAAGCAATATTGTATATATATACTGTATATTTTTTTTAAAAAACTTTGACAGTTTTATCGGTATCTTTATTAAAAGATAATTTGGTTTACATATATACTAGCTACATGTTTAAGTTATTTATACTAATTGCAGATCCGGCATCAGATACAACTTGTTGCACTACTCGACAGATAGAGTAGAAGATTTTGTTAGCCCTGTCAGACACCAAACCAATATGGCTTTATTCTATTTATTATAAATTTCTCTACTGCATCTCTTTATCTCTTTGCTATTTCTCTACTATGATCTTCTTTAATCTTTTTTCTTCTTTCTCTTTCCTTTTTTTGTAGACTTGTTTGAGGATTTCTTTGCTAGTTTAATGGAATCTTTCTAATATTACTCCTTGTGTTGTTTGAAATGCTTTTCTTTTTCTCTCTTGTAATAACTTTATTTTTTTTCTATTGTGCAACTATATAATATCTATCTCCCTATACTAAAGATATAGAAGAAATTCTTGATATATGTACTTGCTACTTTACTTAAATTAGTTTTTTCTATAAGTTGTTTGCATATTTTTTCCTCATATAGGCATCTTATAAAATTTCTTCTAGCCTTGATTTTTTTTTTCTTGTAATATCTAGAATTATCTTTTAAAAAAGTGTGAGATCTATCTTATGTCTTGTCTTTTCTAGCAGCTTGTTTTACACTACTTCTATTGCTACTATTTTAATATTTCACTAGTTTGTTTTCTGTTTTTTGCAAACTAATAAGTAATCTTGAGTTTTTTTAAATTTTTTGTTATATAACTTGCAACTTGCATTTTTGTAAATTAAGAGTTTTTTTTTGTTTAAGCTTTGTAAGAACTGTGACTTCTTGCATTAATATTTTAATTCAAAAACTAATATATTTACTGGTTTTTAAAGATCTGCATTTATACTTTATAAAGCTCTTTAAATATAACTAAAACAACTACCAGTTAATTTGTTTAATTTCTTTATTCTTTTTATATATCTTTTCTAAACTAGACAAACTTATTTTTATATTTTTTTTTGCTTGAAAAATCTTATTAAGATTTTGGGTTTAACTTTATTAAATATTTGTTTTATTTAATTTGATATTGTAACTAGCATCTACTTATTTCTGCTATATTAAACAAATAATTCTACTTGGCTCTACTCTTTCTGCTTTATTATTCTATGACTTTTTACTTTCTTTAATATTAAATCTAATTTCTTTATTTTAACTAAATCTAAGATTTCTACTTTAATATTATTATTGTTATAGTAAAAAGGTTTTTAAACTTGTTACTATAACAATTATATAGCTACAAAGATTCTTTACAGATTTATAGTGGTGTTTAAAAGATAAGTGTAATTCCTTAAGTCTGTTAAAAAACTATACTCTTCTCTAAGGCAGTTTATTACAGAGACAAGGTTTATAGATAAAATATAACTTTATTTATAACAAGAGATAATGCCATCTCCTTTAAAAAATCTACATATTAATTTTTTATTTTTATAAACTTTTATAATCTATCTTTTACTTGTACTACAGTAAAATAACCCTGAATATCCTGATAAGTTATTAGAATTTAGTTTTCTTGTTCTTGATTTTTTCATTATTTTAATCACTTAAACTATATCCAAGTAGTAAAATTTCAAAATTATTTTATTTAATCAACAAAAAATTTTTTTATGAATATATAACTTTTTATAAATTATATTTAAAAGCAAATCAAATTTGTAAATCAAACTATTCAAATATTTTAAATAAATAATATTAAAATTATCATTAATATAAATACAATATCTTGAAATATACTTTAATTTTTCAGAAATAATTACAAAATGAAACCACTTTACACAAAATATACAGTATGTATTCTTTGTTGCAAATGGAAAAGACCTTGTAAAATACAAGAAAATTCAACAAAATGTGATAATTGCATTTGAAAAAAAATTGAGTGCATTAGATTTAAGCTAGCAAACATATCAACTTAATAATAAATTTGATTGAAGAAAATATCAAATTGAAAAACAGAATAAAGCTTTATAAAGAATCGTTACAAGAACTAAAGTTACTCATTAAAGAGAAGCATAAATTTGACAAACATTTTAAAAAAGTTGTAACTAAATTGTAAAGTTAAAAATAGATTTTTATTAAATAAAACTAAAAATAACAATATAAAAATAAATAAAGTTTTTTATATATGTTAATCTAAAACTACTATAAAATTATATTATCTATTATAAACTTAAATAATATATATATATTATTATAAAATATATATTAGTTACTTTAATTTTAAATTACCAAACATAAATAAAAATTTTTTATATTATATCATTAAATACTATTTATAGTCGCACTCCCTAAGTGCACACTCCCTAAGTGCAAGTACTATGTAAAACCTCTCTAAATGCACGATCTAGGTTGGCCCCAACTTATAAGAGTCCTATATA